GCGGCGAAGGTGTGATGAGTTTGTCAAGTGCCTCCGTAATGTTACCAAGCTTTTCCAGCTGGTTGCTGGTATTCCGAATAAGGTATATGCTTCTGCAGTAAAGTTATTTATCGTTTTTTTTTTCGATTTTTATGATTTGTGTTATTAGTCAATGTTGAATGTTACTTTGGTAGAAGTTGTTGAATAAACTATTCTTCTAATTATTGCTTCCTCTGCAAGTTTGCTTTAGTTTAGAGATTAAATTGCTGCTTTTTTATATAGGAATTAAACTGTTATTGAAGCAAAAGATGTCTGACTTAAAAAATAAGGTAAAGTTTTTTACTTTAGGCCATTGTGCAAGAGCTATTTCAGTACATATATGATGCACAAGGGGTTGCATCAGTGTTGGAAGCTTTGGTTTTGTGGATGGCTGAAGGAGAACTAAATATATCACCAGTTGGTAGGCATATTAATAGGGAATTTTCCTACCTTCGTCTTTTTTATAGTCTTTTGTAGAAAACTTGAAATTTTGGATTTATTGTTTTTGACTTTTTTATTTCACTGCATGAAATCCGTTACTGTAAACTGCTTATTGAGAGTGTTGTTGCAGAGCGTGAAAATCTTTGGTGCAACGGTCCAATCGATGTCGAGCCTTGGGTTTTTGGTGGTGGTCTGATTTCTGATTTGCATAAATTGCTTTTCACAACTCCTCGCATAGCAGAATTTTTGCTCGTCAAGTTTTCTATGCCACTAACCTTAAACTGCTACTTAATACGACCTTACAAAGATGAAGACGAGGTTTTTGAAAAAGTTTTGCGCACAGTTTGAGCTAAAATAGTTGAGAAAAAAATTTGAATTTGGAGGTTTTAGAAAGAAGTTCGGTCATTTTATAATCGCTCGGAAGATCTAGTACCAGCGGATGCTGGGATGCTTAATGAAACGAGGGAAGAACGTTACTTCGACCGGTAACTACTAAAGATTTGTATAAAGTTTCTATAATTTGAAAGGGGGTTGAGTATTGACAGTTGGTTTGTTCTTTTTGGTGAGGAAACAAAATTTTTAATGATTCGAATTTAGAGGGGGATTAATTGAGTATCCGAGAGTCGCAAGCATTTCATATCTAGATTGTGTATTTCTTTAGGGATAGTTGCCCTTAAAGGTCAACCATTTTCACTTATCTTTTAAAATAGGCTTTACTTGGGAGCTGTCGTTTTTGAGTTATGATACTTTAAGTTAGTTTATTCTGTTGCTTAGCACTGCTATCAATATCAAAACACGACACTGTTCTTTTTACTTTTCTCTTTTCTGCGAAGGAGGTGGGTTAAGTACGTGATGTGTGCTGAGGCATGGCCTGTATTTAGCAGTTGTTAGAATATACGTTTTATTGTTAATAAGATTGAACAGCTCAGTTTTCAAAGCGAAATATGTGTGAATTTTGATAAGTGGTACTTTTCTTTTTTGTTTTTGGCCTCATTTATCCAAAAATGTCTTGGTTAACTTAACAATTATAAAATTCAATACATATAACAGTTGATACGTATGGTTGCCTGAATTAAACTTTGCTGTACGGCGAAAGGACAGTGGAAGAAACTTGCTTAACAAAAAATCAGTAGTTTTTTCTGGCAGTCGTTTCGTTTATGGTAAAAATCTTTGTTCTGAATTTGTTTCCAAATGTTTAAAACAAAATCTTCATTGTTCATTCTGCATTACATTTAACACAAGATGTAGAAGAATGGAAGTATGCTTATAATTTCTTTACGCCGTTTTTCTTTTCAATAAAAGTTTACCATTGTAGGTATTGGGAGATATAAGACTTCCAGATTTAATAATATTTGTTAAAAACGTCAGTGCTTCGTCTTATACTTTTTAATTCTTAAGTAAGTTGAGTGCTGTATGTGAACCTCTGGATAAGTATTGGATCCTTACTATCTGCACTTTGTTTAGTTCAAAAGAATGAGCGGCCCTTATAGTACAGCTTCCAAATTTTTATGCTTAAGGCTTTTGTTTCTTTGATTTTCAGATATATTGGTCCTTATGTAACTTACTCACTTCCGAAAACCATATTTGTCGCTGTTGAGCAGTCCAACCCGAAAAGGACTGTTGCTGTTGTCACAGCAACTTTGAATGCAAGGCAATTTGCGGACAAGGTACCGAAATTTTACATCTTCTTTGCTTTGATTTAGAAAATTTTAGAATAATAATAGTGAAAAATGATTATTTTTTGGCAAATTACAGTGTATATTTTCTTTCAGGTCCATCGGCAGTATATACCGAGGATGAGAACGAAATATAATATGTATGCAGAAGCTGATAAGGAAGAGGGACCTTATGATGAGAATTTAGAAAGCCAGGTTTTTTTTTACTTTTTAATCCTTATCTACTCTCATTTCTTTCATAGAATATACATTGTTTTTGAATGTTAAGGAGCAGCAACTTTCACTTTCAAAACTACCACTGCCACGTTTTTCTCTCTGTTTCGTGAATTTTAAGTAAGTAGCATTTGGGAGACTTTAAACTGCTTTCACTAGCAGGTGTAGTTTAAATGCATTAGTGAGCATGGGTCTGGTACTGCTTAATATTTATCAAAGTCAGATAGCTTACAGTACAGTCTATTGTTCTGAAGTTTTTTCCTATTATTTTTAAAAAAATATCGAGTAATTTAAGTTGCCTATTTGTTAAGTTATAGTACTTTTCTCTTTCTTCAGTGGCAACGACAGCATGAGGATATTGCTGATTGGGAGCCGCCTCATCTTTCTGAGGAGATTTACAGGCAATTTCCGAGCCAGGTACCATCTTTACATGTTATAGGGTACTTAGAATTGGCGATACCCTTTGTATTAATTGTGCTTTTGAATAGCTGCTCTACGTTAAGTTTATATGCAGATCTGATACTATAAGCAAACTGTGGGGCTTTTGAGCATAATCTTTAACCTTAAATTGTTTTTTAGATTGGTATTCAGTACCGAAGCTTGCAGAACGATGCCATTGCTATAAAACGACTAATCTATACAACAATTGTAGCTCTCTCTTTTAACGGTAAACCTGTTCTTTCATTGGCAGCAGTAACCGAAAGTAGCGTTCTGTAGAGTATAGGATTTTTGGCTTTTGGCTTGCTAGTAAATTTTTAAAATTAATTTTTCTGAAAAGCTTGCAGGGTCAACAGGTTTTTTCACTATTATACGTGCTATGGATGTAGAGAAGGCTGATTTTTTAACAAAACTTGGCTTTATACCGATCAAGGTATTGAACTTCAAGAAGTTGGAATTTTTATTTTATCGTTATTTTAAACAGTCGACCATGAGTCAACTAGTTTCTATTAATCAATTTTTCTCTAATTTTCCAGCACCTCATTCTGTTCTTTAGGTTTCACTTTACTTTACACTCCTCCACAACTATCTAGTTGCTAATTATATCAGATTTATAATTTAATCACTTATTTTTAGGAAGCGGGTTTATCGGAAGATGTTTGTTTGATGGGTCACACACTTTGAAAAAATACTGCTGTTTTGTTTATTTTTGGGTCACTTATGTTTTTACGCGACTTACTTGACTGTTAATTAAATCCTTATCAATATTCCACGTTTTATGTGGATCTAGTCTTTTGTTTCCTCGCAGTTATAATTTGTATTTGCAAATGAATACGGGTATTCTTGATGTCTGTTATAATTTTTTTCTTCTGATCTTGTTGATTTCTGACTGGTTACGAAGTACGACATGTAAAGCATAAAGAAGGTTGTTGAATGAGACTTAAACTATTTTCTTCAAACTCTTCATATGTGTATTCCTCTTAATACTTAGGCTCCTTCGCCGCCGAACTGAGCTTTATTGATAAGCAAAAACGCGGGTTTTGTATGTAATTTACTAGAAGTCTATTCTAATTTTTTATAGGTTTCGTTACAACTTTTAAAATATAGTTTTCTTTTTTTCCGAAGGTTATCCTGTATTTCAAGATTATTCTTATGTCTTTAGTACACGTGACTATTCCGTATTTTCCAAAATCATTCAACGGTTATTGATCGTAAACTTACTGGCTTTTACGAATAGAAATATACAAATATTTGCAATCGCTGAGTTTGACATTAATCTGAAATTTGCAAACCAGGAGATGGTTTAAATTTTTTAAATAGTTGTTTCTTCAATCAAAGGGTTGGGAACCATGTGTTTTGTATTTTTTCGTTTGGTGCTTACGGTGTGGCAGATGAGGATTACCGACACGTAGCATTTGGTGAGGCGCTACTTATATGCATTTAAAAATGACGAAGTGAACACTACATCAAAGATTGCCGAGGTATTTTGCGGGGTATTTAGTTTTAAGTTACTGTCATCTGGTAATCTCAGTGTTTCCAGTGGCTGCTGGAGGTATGTTTACTCCCGCTGGGTTTTTAAAGGCAAATTAAAGCATTGTAACGCACGGTGGGAGACTATGTGGACATCGAGGGTACAAAGTATTTCCCCAGGATGGCTGGGTGAAGTGGGACTTTTCATTTTCTTTTGTTTTATTTCATTTTTTTTTTTTCTGAGTTTAAAGCAAGATCATCTTGCGTAGGTTACTGTACAAGCATCTGCACATGGGTGTTTAGGAAGAGTTATACTTGCAATTTAGTAGCATCGTGTTACCAACGATGTATCGGTTGCACGACAGTTTCAGAGATTTCCTGACGGAAGGAAAGAAAATGTGAAGGATTGGCGGTTGAGTAAAAAAGAAAAAAGTTGAAGAAAGTGGGAAAATGGGTAGTTAACTTTAAAAAACGAGGTGGTACGAAAATGCATATATTTTTTCAACTTTTTTTTCGTTATGGATGGTTGGGGGTGGGTTGTCTTGTCTTTTGTTAAGCGTACAGTACCCAATGTCTATGCCATTTTTTTCAGCGCAGGTACATATTTATTGAGGTTCGTTGACAGAAGGTCAAATTGCTGGCTTCTCCATTAAAAGAGAAACAGAAGGGAAAGGGGGAGGCGGAGAAGAAGAATACATGCATATAAAAGTATTAGAGAATTTTATAAATTTGTTGCAATCGATCAGATTCGTTTAGGCTAAATGTGTGCGCCATTAATAGACTCAAACAGACAAATTATAGTTTAAAGACAATTAAGAATTTGAAAAAAAAGGAATTTTTTTTTTGTGCGTGCGTTAGTAAAACCTTTTATGCGAATCAACATGTAAAGGTTAAAAATCTAATAATAACAATAATAAATATTACAGAGTTAGGGTAAGGCGAACAAGAAAGGTTTTTTTGTTGTAACAACGACAATGGCAACAGCAACGGTATACATTCGTATCGGCAGCAATGAGTGAGCGAATGAATAAATGAACGAAGAAATAAATAGACGAATAAATAATTGACGTAGCAGTTCGTCTTTTCCAACAAATATAATATTTTTTGCTGAACCTTTCATGATTTGTCAGCACCAACCATAACAGCAGAACCTCTTTTTGTTCACATTCATGCAAAAAGAAACATTTTGATTTGCAACATCAGTAGCAGTAGTAGTAGTAATAGTGGCAACAGTTGTAGTAACAGTGGAATAAATTGGTAACTGATAGGAAACAAGAAAGCAAAAAAGAAAAGGAAGATTTTATCTTAGTAATCAACATCTTGTAAAGAACAACTCTTATTTTCATGATTTATTACCAGACTTCCTTTCCGCAATCCTTTCTTTTTTGTTATTTTATAGTATTTTTACTTTTTTTCCATTTTGTTGATTTATCTTCTGCCAAAATAAGACTGGGTAGGAGTTTTTTAGATCAAAAAGTATCATAAACTATTATAATCTTGGCATAGTTCAGAAAGAAAAATAAAAATTCTTTTATTTTCAACAATCAAATTTTTTTAAGCAACAGTATTGATAAGAATTAGAAAAAGAATCTTTTTCTATTGAATAATTCTTCTAAGCATGCTTGACCTATGTTCAATTGTCTCTTTTCGCTTACTGCAGAAACTGCAACAGGTTAACCTGATTCATTCAATCAGCCAATGGAAATGCGATTGCAACTGCAGCGGCAACTGCAGCACCGGCAGCGCCGGCAGCAGCAGCAGCAGCAGCAGCGGTTTAGGTTGGGTATATGTTAATAAGCCAGCAAATATATAGGTCAACTGATCGTTATACTTTAGCCTTTATTTTTTTTTCCTGTCCTAGTCATTCCACTTACACAGTGCTTTGCCTTTTTCTCTACGAAATACAGTAACTGCTATTTGAAATTTAAATATACATACATCAATTTTAGAGTAATCACATATAGTTTCTTCATCTTTTTTTTTTTTTTTCTTCATTTAACACTTCAGATTGTATTTTC